GTTATATGGCTAAGTAGAAGATATTTCTATTTCTGAAGGGTGTATAGTCCCATTTTATTAAAATTGCTTGAAATTTTTATGGAGTGATTATGGACCAAAAATATGTTGTTGTGTCAATTTGCGGAAATATCTGACAAAATTTAGTTATTATTGTAATTATTTGTTGAAGTACCATATAATAAATGTAATAATATCTAAACTTAGTTAGGAAAATCTACAAACTTGCGTGTCAACATGATTTTGATGGATAATCATTGTACAAAAATTTCAGATGATTTTGGCAAAGCAGTACTGCACATTGTTCACAAATGGATACATCTCACACATAGTTATATGACTAAGTAAAAGATGTTTCTATTTGTGAAGGGTGTATGGTCCCACTTTTTTAAAATTGCTTAAAATTTTTATGGAATGATTATGAACCAAAAAAATGTTGTTGTGTCAATTTGCGTAATTATCTGACAAAATTTAGTTATTATTGCAATTATTCGTTAAAGTACCATGTAATAAATGTAATAATATCTAAACTTGGTTAAGAAAATCTACAAACTTGCGTGTCAACATGATTTTGATGGATAATCATTGCAAAAAAAATTCAAATGATTTTTGCAAAGAAGTACCACACATTGTTTACAAATGGATACATCTCACACGTTGTCATATGACTAAGTGAGAGATGTTTCTATTTGTGAAGGGTGTATGATCCCACTTTATTTATAATTGCTTGAAATGACCAAAAAAGTTGTAGATCTGGATAAGTTCTACAACTTTATTGTTGATGACCTTTTCATTTTAACTCCTTTATTATCCCAAAATTCTATTTGAAATTTTTCATATCTTGAAATTTAAATTTCAAACTATTTAAACAAAATCGAATGAAGAAAATGACCAAAACCAAAGTTGTAGAGCTCGATGAGTTCTACAACTTTATTGTTGACCACTTTTACAAAATGTCAAATAATTTGAACGATACTTGTGTCTTAATTTATTAATCAAAAATAGAAAAAATAGTAAATTATAAAGGGCTAAGCAACCTCAGCTGAAATTATGAAAGGATATGTGTTTGTATGGATTGATTATAGATGTTTTTTAGTGAAAGAATCAATGGATTTGGAGTTGGAATGGGGAAGTTTTGTATTTTCTTGGGTTTATTAAAAAAAGACGTAGTCCAACTAAGTCGCTGCCATGCGGGACCCAACTGGTGACACGATATGGCCAACCAAACGGCTCTATGACCCAAATTGGGGGGAGGGGTCCGTTTCCGTTTCCTGGCTCCGTATCCCCAGGCACGCGCAGCGATCTCCGTGGGCTAACATGCGTACATGGTACGTCCCTGGCTCCGTATCCAGAATTGGAGGCCCACTAAGCAAGAAGTGGCATAGTTGGTTATCAGCCCATTCTTGGCTTTCACAGTCATCCGCGCTGAGTCAACCACGTTCTCCATGACGCCGACTCACCCACGCACGACATCAACCCGTGCTGTGCTTATTCACCTTCTGCCATCACCATTAGCAACCTCCGCTTCCGACTCTCTATCCGCAGGCCGGCCTCCATACTCGTGTTCCCAGCCTTAAGACGTAAGCCATACGTGTTGCAGACCTAGCCTAACTAGCTATATCCTAGAATATGATGGAGCTCTGAGGATGATTAGGGTTTCTGTCTTCTCAAATGACTTTGATGCCTTTAAGGGAGGCAGGGGCTGATATATATATATATATATATATATATATATATATATATATATATATATATATATATATATATATATATATATATATATATATATATATATATATATATATATATATATATATATATATATATATATATATATATATCAGAGCGTCTAACGTGAGCCCTTAGATCAAACCGACTTAAGGAAGGACGTAGATGCAACATAGGAGGCGGTGGGAAACCGACTTGACGTCGCGGAGGCTGACAGGTGGGCCCAGGGGTTGGGCGGCCTGCAGGTGGGGCCTAGCAGCCCCTCGCTCTCTGCCTCGGCGTGGAGTCCTCTCGAGTCTTTCTAGTGTCCGTTTCGCGGTGGATAAGCGCAATTAAATCTGACATGTAGGTCCACCTTGACGGTTTTCTGGATAAACCCTGCAGAAATCACAGATTCACCAAAACTCGTGGAATTTATTAGTTTAAACCCTTAGACCATTGTTGATGATTTCAATTGTACCCTTATGCATGTTTTATTGATGATTTATAATGGTTGTTATCTACCGTCAACATTCCTCCTTTCCTCCATGTAGGTCCATTCTTTTCCCCTAGTCTTATTCATCGTTGTTTCTGTCTTTATAGGATGGTGCTAGGCTAATAAGCTACAAGTTTTAAGCAACACCCGACTTGTTAATGGTTTTAGAATTTTTATATATTTAAATATTAAAATTGAATAATGTTCATCCAACGTCCGTTTGAATTAAAAGTGCTGTAGGTCTATGCTTCGGTATTTTAGTAGGTATAAATGTTAATATGATTAATTACTAACATAAATTTGATTTTAAATTAGAATTTGCTTAGCTCCAAAATACACCATATGTAATTCGAATAGATGGTGTCACATGTCAATTTATTTTGCGATATAAAATTTAAATAACTTAAATAATATGAGACATGTTTATAAATAAAACATGAGTAGTTCCAACTTGGTTTTTAAATTAAAAATACTGCTTGAATTAATATTACTCCCATAGTTTTTCTTAATTAACATACATCAAGCTCGTAGTTGTTTCTTTTATAATGTAAACTTCTTAGTAGCCGTATTTCCTAACAGTAGCTCCGTTTTCGATGTTTCTTGTGATCTTGTGACTGTAGTAGCTAGCTCTCTTTTAGTACGATGTGTAGTCTCGTGTGGTGTATTGTTCTTAGTTATTTTTACTTATTGCTTGTATGTTTTCCTATGCGTGGTACTTGCTACGAGTAGAACGAGAACCATTTGAGAGCGCTGAAGATCAGAAGGTGATGACCAGAAGCAAAAGTATGAGAGAGTTTCAGCAAGTGTATAAGGCAAGTATAGCATGGGATCATCCATTTTGTCCTATTCACATTAATCATATTTTAATCATATGCATGTGTCTACCTTGACTACCAATAAGGATATCATAGCTTTGTACTTGTACCTTGTCACCTAAGGATTTATGCATTGGGTAGTATGATGCTAGAGCTCAATTAAAGACCATGATCTTATAACGTGACTAATGGAATATGCAATAAACACTAAAAGATGCTTTTTAGCAACAAGAAATAAGGGGGCTAGAGCATAGTTTTTGTGATGCTCTAGATTCTTCTCCTTAAGGACTTATCTGTAAGCGATCATCCGGGATTTACAGTACAGCCATAAGTGATATATGGCTCTGGCTTTAGTCAAGTATGAGGACCTTTTCTAGCTTGTTAGTGATTACCTAAAAGGGCACAAAAGGGGCTTGACAAGCTAGGTATAGTGCGGCCTCTGTTCCTAAGAGTACTTCTGCGTGAGTGTGCCTTTCGAAAGGGGGGCTCTATATCCCCTTGCCGATTGGAAACCTAGCGGCTCTAACTTGTTAGACGAACCTTTGAAAGACTTCACAGTGAACCCTACCAATCTTCCTTGGAAGTGGGTCAAGAGACTAGCTACCTCAAGCGAAAGGGTAAATCACGGCCCATAGTGAAAGTGTTCAACCTCTGCAGAGTGTAAAACTGGTATATCACCCGTGCTCATGGTCACGAGCGGCCTTGGACCCTTATGAAATTGATGATCATTAATGATAATTATGTTTGTGCTATTCATTATTCATGTTTATCTGATCATGTGTTTATATGGGCTTGTGATAAACTTGTTGCTACTCAATTGCTTAAAATTGTGACTCATAAAAGCTTACCGCGTAGTTAAACCAGTGTCTATCTTTTGAGCGTCATGAACCCCATGTTATAATTGTTGAGTACGATATGTACTTACACTTGCTTTACATTCAAATTTTCGAAAAACCCCGGATGGGTGACAGAAGGTGGAGCTAGTGAGTTTCCTGAGATGTGCTAGGCGAATGTACCCCTAGTCAACCGTCCCTATGGTGTTTGGAGGCTTCGCTTGAAGATTAGAACTTATGATTCCGCTACTTTGATGCAAGTTTTATCTCCTTGTAAGTGATAATGTTATATTGTTATTCGTTATATAATAAAGCACTGTCTTTTGATACTATTGTAATTTGTCTTTATATGTGTGATTTGACTTTCTGGGCACACATATAGTTGATACTCAGTTTTGTTTTTAAAACTAGGTGTGACACATTAACTAATATTTGTCTTCCAATCTAAGATTTTAATCATACAAATTGACAAGTGCAAGTGCATACAAATTGACTTGACCCGGTGCCGTGCCAAAGAAGGCAAATCAACAAAATGTTCCCCACAAAAGACAATATGGAAAACACCACTACCATAAAGGGCCAAATCAGATTTGGACAGAGAATCTTGAACCGGTAGACGATTGCAACTACGGATTTTTGTCAGAATAGAAATTGACGAGACAAGGCACACATGGACGCCGACTTATTTGGCTTGTTCCTGCTGAAAAGTAATGTACTACTTTGATAAGCAGTAGAACACATGAGTAAGTGGTGCTCAAGGTGATCTTCATCAAGGCCGCTGCAATGCTCTTTTTATTATATAAACCACTGCACCTGAACTAGCCGAGCATACATACAGTTTGGTTAGATACTTACCCCAGCGCCAAGGATCAACAGTTGGCAAGTGTACAATCCGGCCAACCAGAGGTGCCTATATCCTGCTTTTCGTCGTCTTACTAGATATTTGCTTGTCACTCCTACTATGTTCGACTTAGATACTAGTTAAATTCTTTCGCAAAAAAAAAGATACTAGTTAAATTGAGATCATATCTTGTGGAAGTTAGCGATGTACAAACCTTGCTAGTGAAGTAAAACTGCTCATAAGCTTTGTTTTCCATGCACAATGTCTGCGCTTTGTATGTTGCAGGTAACACACAGAGCTATATGCTGTCCATGTGGCTCATGAGGTCCGCCATGATTGGAGTGCTGGTCCTGCTGCTGTTTTATGGGGCTGAATATGCCAACTGCTCTACGGTCCCCCAAAACAGCACCGACATGCTCTCGCTGCTCGATTTCAGAAGAGAAATCACCAGCGATCCAAGAGGTTTCTTCAGTTCGTGGAACAGCACCGCCGACTACTGCAGCTGGAATGGCATCACATGCAGTAGAACGCACCCAAGGCGCGTCAGGGAGCTTAACCTCAGAAATCAAAGCCTTGAAGGCCGAATCTCTCCATCTCTTGGTAATCTCACCTTTCTTAGAGTACTCGACCTGTCGTCAAACAGCTTCTTTGGTCAGCTGCCCCTTCTTAATCGCCTCGTTAGGCTTCAGGACCTTGTTCTGAACAATAACCGGTTGCAGGGTTTTGCTCCTGATGCACTTATAAACTGCTCCAACTTGCACTCTTTAACCCTTTCATCAAACCTCTTAGCTGGGCCAATACCAACCAGTATCGGTTTCCTCTTTAACCTTAAGTACATGTACCTTGATTTTAATAATTTCACTGGAGGCATCCCATCAAGCCTGCTCAACATCTCTAAACTAGAGCTACTCGTGCTTTCTTCAAACATGTTAGATGGGCCAATACCGCCCAATATCGGTTCCCTCTTTAACCTTAAGTACCTGTTCCTTGATGGTAATAGTTTCACTGGAGGGATCCCATCAAGCCTGCTCAATATCTCTAAGCTAGAGGAGCTCGTCCTTACTTCAAACATGTTAGGTGGGCCAATCCCACCCAGTATGGCTCGCCTCTTTAACCTTGAGTACCTGTACCTTGATGGTAATAGTTTCACTGGAGGCTTCCCATCAAGCGTGCTCAACATCTCAAAGCTAGATAAGCTCGTGCTTTCTTCAAACATGTTATATGGGCCAATACCGCCTAATACCAGTTCCCTCTTTAACCTTACGCTTCTCCACCTTGATACTAATAATTTCACTGGAGCCATCCCATCAAGCCTGGGCAACATGACTAAATTAGAGGAGCTCCTGCTTTCGGATAATCAGCTCGAAGATATCATACCTGAAGAGCTTGGGCATTTATCAAATATGAATAGATTGACACTAGGAGGAAATAGACTATCAGGTAGCATCCCAACCACAATTTTCAATCTATCTTCTCTTGGAATTTTGGACGTCAGTGTGAATTTCCTACATATGGCGTTGCCATCTAACATTAGCAGTACCCTTCCTCTCCTCCGCGCGCTTAGCTTGCACAATAACATGTTCCATGGTCAAATCCCAGCCTCACTAGGAAACGCTTCGTTCCTCCTGGCATTAGATTTCACATCTAACAATTTCACGGGCCATGTCCCTAGTTCTTTAGGAAATCTAACATACCTGCAGGTCCTAAAACTAGAACAAAACAATCTTGAAGCAAAAGACAGTGAGGGCTGGGAATTCATAGATGCCCTGGGCAAATGTACGAGTCTGCAATACCTCTTATTATCTGACAATCAGCTGCAAGGAGCCCTACCAAATTCAGTTGGAAAGTTGTCCAACAGCAGTCTCCAGTACCTACGATTAGGGAAAAACAACTTGTCAGGGATGGTTCCAGAGACCATAGGGAACCTTGTTGGCTTAAATGAGTTGGTTCTAGATCAAAACCAACTGACTAGTCCGATTGGATCTTGGGTTGGAAAGTTGAACAACTTGGTAAATTTATCTCTCGCATACAATAACTTCAGTGGGCCGATTCCATCGTTCATTGGCAGCTTTACTAAGTTAACATACCTTTCCCTACAGAACAACAAATTTGAAGGTCCAATACCTCCCAGTTGGGGTAAACTTCAACGTTTACTAGAATTGAATGTTAGTCATAACAATCTACATGGCCCCATTCCTGAAGAGCTCTTTAGTCCTACATCTTCATTGACCAAATGTGCATTATCCTATAACAATTTAGACGGTCCAATACCTCCAGAGGTTAGCAACCTTCAACAACTCATTGAACTAGATCTTTCATGGAACAAACTTGCAGGGGAAATGCCTTCCAATTTGGGCGAATGTCGTCTGTTGCGTATACTCCAAATGGACGGCAATTTTCTCACTGGGAACATTTCGCCTCTGAGTAGTCTAACAAGTTTGAACATCCTCAATCTTTCACACAATATGTTATCAGGCCTGATCCCATTAGAACTTGGTAATATGCCCTCTCTTACCCAGCTGGATCTATCTTATAATGATCTACAAGGTGAAATACCAAGGGATGGAGTATTTCGAAATGCTTCAGCTGTCTCACTTGTTGGCAACAGGGGACTGTGTGGTGGGCTGTTGGATTTACACTTGCCCCCCTGTCCTATTGCCTCAAGGAGAAAAGTAGTACAATACTACCTCATTAGAGTGTTGATCCCAATATTTGGCGTCATGTCACTCTTAATGTTGGTCTATTTTGTTCTCACTGAGAAAAGGACTGCACAGCAACCATCATTACCTCCTCTTGGTGATCAATTCCCCATAGTTTCATACAATGATTTAGTTCAAGCTACACAAAACTTCTCCGAATCAAACTTGATAGGGAGAGGAGGTTATGGTTCTGTATATAGAGGGAAGTTGATGGAAAAGAAGGTGGAAGTTGCAATTAAGGTTCTTGACATTGATATGCGAGGTGCTGAGAAAAGTTTCTTATCGGAATGTGAAGCTTTGAGAAACATCCGACACCGAAATCTAGTTCCCATCATAACAGCATGCTCCACAGTGGATATCAACGGCAATGTTTTCAAAGCTCTGATATATGAATTTATGCCAAACGGGAATTTGGACTCATAGTTGCATCAGGAAGCTCTGATATATCGGAATGTGATTGATGGTTCCTTACAAGAAGACGTCAGGAGTGCCCAAATAAATATGGTAACAGAAAATGAGGCCCACCAATGCTTGTTTTCTCTACTGCAAGTAGCACTTTCTTGCACACGAGAAATTCCGGGTGAACGAACAACCATGAAAGATGCAGCTAGCAGAATTCGTGCAATCAAGACCACGTATGCCGGAGGAGAACACAAGCATACATTGAACTGAAACCATCAATGTATACCGTGCCCATGCTAGCTACGCAACACAGATCTTGATATTATACTGGTATATGCACTTAAAAAGAAAGAAGAATATTAAGATTATCATTCATCGCAGTGCACCAAATTGTTATGGAATTTCTATTTATATTACTAGTCCATCAACCCATGCTCTCGCATGGGCTAGAATTTTAGGAGATATAAGTATTACTTATTGTTTAATGCATCTGACTACTAAGAATTACTTACATTAAATTGTAAGCTTTTTCTTTTTGATTATTTTCGAACACAATAGACATAATAGATCATCTGTAATCTGTATCATAAAATTATTAATTGCTATTTTTTAAGGGACTAATCTTTATATTTTTTCCATCCATACTCATATTTTTCTTTTGCATGGCACCTATATATTTTTTAAATATGCAATTAGTTTGAAAACTTACCATTAAGTATGATGGATCTTGTTGCATCACATATCAGATGAAGTCATGAATCTAAATTTAGATTTTTCAAATTTTATTCTTATTGACTGCTCTAGATTTTCTCTCTCCTCAAGTTAAGTTAAAACTATTGAGCTTATTATATCTTAAATTTAACTCTCCTTTTTGCACTTTTTTAAAATAAAGAATTTAGGTTGTAGAGTACATTCTTAAATACTACGATAGCATAAGCCATCATTTGTGTGGGGCTTCGCTTGCCCTCCTACCCTCGCTAGAGGCTAGCACGGGGGAGACCGATGGTTACCCACATGGATGGGACAGCGAAGGTAGAGAGCAACAAAGCACAGGGGCGTTGCAATAAATTTTGGAATAAATGGCTATTAATTCATCCTCTGTTGCTGTGCCACCCACCGGGTATTTATAGGGCATACCCGAGGACAAGGTGAAATTACATTCTGCCCTTGCCGTTCAGAGCACTATTCTACAAAAATACAGGGACACGCCGGTCATTCCGTGCTCCTACTTCAACTACTCTTCAAACGGTGCAGCAGGTAGCCGTTTCCAGGGGCCACCACATTCGGTCATCCACCCGACAGTGCGGAGCCGGCCTTGCGAAGGTGGCCTCCTGCTCAGATAGCCTCGCGAACGACGTTCAGCCCTCCAAAGACAAAGGATCAAAGCTACCTCCGCCGGAAGAGTTAGTCGATTACTCCTTATCGGGGAAATTTCCCTGGCAGCGAGAATCTCCGCCTGAGTGAGCGAGGGTCCCGCTTCCGGCTGAAGGCGGACCGGGGTGGCGCGCTGAGGGTGAACCCCCAACAGTAGCCCATCGGGGGTTTGGTCCAGCCTGATGGGTAGAAGCTATGCTAAGATCAGAGACGGATGAGCGGAGCTCGAGCTCATGGGCCCCTTGGCCTAAGCGATGCCCCATCTACCTTCGGCCGCTGGCGTTGGACCCGACGTGATTTGATGGGCTTGTCTTTTTAGGGTTCGGTTGCGTGTTAAGCGCGCGTGAAAGCGTGTTTCCGCATATTTTGGTGCGTCATTCCTCGATTTTTGGGATCACTCTGGGTTTGGTGGACGCGTGGGATCACTCTGGGTTTGGTGGACGCGTGGTGGGGAGTTCGGGCCTATAAATAGGAGCGCTAGGTGGCATGCATTCTCTCCTGGTTCAATTGCTGTTGATTGTTGCGGCTGCTGTGGGATCTTGTGCGAGGGTTTTCGTTGAGTGGAGGTTTGGTGCAGGACGAGGGTTGCTGTTGGCGAAGGTTTTCGTATCTGGCGATTAGATCTGTTGGACTTGGTTCGGATTGGTTGTTGGTGAGTTGTTTTGCTCGTTGCATGTTTGTTCGAGGGTGTGGCTGTTGTTTTGTGGGCTGAACGGATATCTTGCCTTCGCCGTTCTCTATTTTTTGTTGTAGTGATGGCTCGTACTAAGCAGACCATGAAGGTGGTCGAGGGTTCGGAGAGTGTGTCCAAGCCAGAGGTTGAATCTTTTGACTTTGGGGCCTTGCTTGTTACTGAGAAGGATCTGGAGACATACGCGAAGCGGAAGTAGTCTGTGAAGGGTGATGCGAGGGCACCTGGGAATGAGACTGTGCCGCAGCCGCATGATGACGAGGTTGTTGTGTTTCGGGAGTTTTCCTATGCCGGCTTGAGGTTTCCTGTTATTCACTTTGTATTCGAAGTCATGAGGAGGTTTGAGTTGAAGTTTCATCGGCTAACGCCTTCTTGCTTTACAAGGTTGTCGGCGTTTGTGTGCGTGTGCAGATCTCAGGGGGTCGAGGATGATGAGGATGCGTTCTTGCGTACGCACAGAGTTCACTATCAGCCGAGGAAGGTTGTGGGCAAGGATGTGGTTTCGGTCTGTCGGTTTGGAGTGTACACATTCTTTTACCGATCTGGTGTGAATCTGCCTGCACAGGCTCCGAAGAACAACTGGTCCTCGTCCTGGCTTAAGTATTGTTTTTACTACAAACTTGGAGCTGGTGAGGGTGTTCATGTTAAGTTTTGCGGAGACCTAACTTCGCTTTGTAGCAAGACTGCTGAAGGGGCTGCAACGGAGGTTGCTTGTGGAGTTATTGAGGCGTTGCGGCTACTAGGCCATCACTTGTGTGCGTGGGGTCTCTTTGAAGAGATGATGTGCGTGAGGGTTGTTCTACTTTGTGCAAACGAGGACTGGTTCGCTGTCTAAGCTGAGAAATATGAGGGAAAGGGGTTGAAGTGTCAGATAGTAGATGTGGAGTCCCGCTGGTCTCGGGTGATGAACAAGGCTGCAAACTGGGATGAAGGTGTGGCCTAGGTTTACGAGGATGTCCAGCACTCATTGCAGGATATAGTTGGGGATCTGGGCACCATGGAGATCCGCTAGATCCATGCCGCTCTGGGCGATCATCATCGATTTAACCGTCTTTTTGACCTCCTTAGGGTTGTGCACCCAGATGGTGCCGCAGCCGCTGCTGGCGCTGGAAAAGCGGCGCATCCAAGAAGAGGAAGAAAGGGGAGGGATCCGAGAACGGGACTGCCAAGGCAGGAAGTGCGGTGGTCAGGGGCTTGGCAAGTCGAAGGTTCATCGTGACGGGCGGCCTGTTGCGGTGAAGAGGCCCGTGTCAAGAGCTGAGGCTAGCAGTTCCATTGCTTCTGATGTTGGGGTAGAGCACCCAGCGAAGGTAGCTCGTGTCGCCATGAGTTCTCTCGCAGTCATGGGTGCGGACGACAGTGTGAAAATGGCAGGCCTTTGATCTATGTTCATTCAGTTGGATTCTGAGGAAGAGGACGAAGGTAGCATTGGTGTCGAGAAGGCGGGTGAGAAAGCTCCAACTCGGGAGGCTTCTATTGATAAGGGTGAGGAGTCGGATCGGAGCTCCAGTGACGGAGAAAGCTCTGCTGATACAAGTGGGTCCTTGGAGGAGGAGGAAGAGGATAACACGACAGTTGATTCTCTAGAGGTACCAGGTGAGGAGGCGGATGCGGCTAAGGAAGAAGCTAGGTCTGACTTGGACTGAGGGTGGAAGGTGGCTGGGGCAGCCAGAAAATTCAGTGGTTTGCGCCATAGGCGACCGGGTGTTCATATTATAGTGGATAGGGCGGATTTGGGTAGTGATCAGGAGATTGATTGTGTCGGGGGAAAGACGCCATATGGAGAGGTCGGACGAGACACCCTCGTTCATTTGGGCAGCCAATTGGGCACTGACAAGGACCAGACAGATCTATTTACCAGTTCGGACCTTCGTTCGTGCAGGTTCGAGGCTAATTCAGGGGAGCGGAGGTTCTTGGCCAGTGTGTTCCAGTGAACATGCCTTCCTAAAGTGGAGGCTATGCTTGTAAGGGAGGATTTTGATGATCTTACTAATGATGCCGAGGTTAGCGCGTTGCCGTCTGTTATGCTCGCCCGTGCGCTGAAGCAGAAAGGTGGGATTATTGAGACTAAATTGCGCGAGCAGTTGTCGCAACAAAAGGAGGTTGTTAAGTCCGAAAAGGCTGTAGTTGTTCGCCTTACGAAGGAGAATGAGCAGCTTAAGAGGAGGCTAGAGGTGGCGGAGAAGGTGGCTAAGAGGGAGGAGGAGGTAGCGCAGAAGAGCCAGGAAGAATAGCAGCAAATCATGAATCGAAACCTGGACCTTTGGTCAGAGTTGAGGGAAATGGAGGAGGCGAAGGTAAAGGCTGAGGGGCAGGTGGCCGAGGAGAAAGATCGGATGATGTTGCGAGGGTGAGTTGAGCCCTGCCGTTGATGTGGTGGGAGGTTCTAGTTTTATTGAAGTTGTTGTCAACTTGGTTGCTGAGGGACTTCTTAACAAAGTGGTGAAGGAGATGATCGAGGAAGCGGCTTTCGATGCCTGCTTTGAAGAGGATGCCCCTAGTGTTTGGGAGTATCGTCGAAGGGCTGTTTAGATTGGCCCAGCGGCTATTTTGTCTTTGCTGGGGTTCTGTTGTATGTTGTGTTTTTGTTCTTTGTTTGTTAATGCGTCGAGGATGTTGTTGTTTGCGATCACCATTTTATAATGTTGTAACCTGTGACTGTTGTCCGTGGTTTGTTGTTTGTTGAAATAAAGGCGAGGGTTTGCTGATGTGCCGGAGAGTTTATTTGGTCTTGGCCGATACTTGATTTTGGGGGTGCCTAGTGTTTGATTGACGTGGCATTTCTTTTTATCCTGATAAGGCCTGCTTACACCCCTTTTTCTTATGGCGAGCTTCCATTCATTGGTCAAAATGATTTGGTCGATCCGGCGCCCCATTTTGTTTTAGTGAGGCTCGCCCAATTTCGTTCTAAGGCTTAGTCGAAGTGACACCCCTTATATTTAGCGAGGCTCGCTCGATTGCGTTCTAACACATAGTCAAAGCGACACCCCCCCTCCCCTTTCTTTAGCGATACTCGCTGGAGTGCATTCTAAGACTTAGTCGAAGCTAGATACCAATAGAACTTGGTAATATGCCCTCTCTTACCCAGCTAGATCTATCCTATAATGATCTACAAGGTGAAATACCAAGGGACGGAGTATTTCGAAATGCTTCAGCTGTCTCACTTGTTGGCAAAAGGGGACTGTGTGGTTGGCTGTTGGATTTACACTTGCCCCCCTGTCCTATTGCCTCAAGGAGGAAAGTAGTACAATACTACCTCATTAGAGTGTTGATCCCAATATTTGGCGTCATGTCACTCTTAATGTTGGTCTATTTTGTTCTCACTGAGAAAAGGACTGCACAGCAACCATCATTATCTCCTCTTGGTGATCAATTCCCCATAGTTTCATACAACGATTTAGTTCAACCTACACAGAACTTCTCCGAATCAAACATGATAGGGAGAGGAGGTTATGGTTCTGTATATAGAGGGAAGTTGATGGAAAAGAAGGTGGAAGTTGCAATTAAGGTTCTTGACATTGATATGCGAGGTGCTGAGAAAAGTTTCTTATCAGAATGTGAAGCTTTGAGAAACATCCGACACCGAAATCTAGTTCCCATCATAACAGCATGCTCCACAGTGGATATCAACGGCAATGTTTTCAAAGCTCTGATATATGAATTTATGCCAAACTGGAATTTGGACTCTTGGTTGCATCAGGAAGTGAATGGGAAAGTCAGAAAACCTTTGGACTTAAATCAAAGAACATGCTTAGCTGTCAACATAGCTGACGTACTTGATTATCTGCACAACAAAAGTGGGAAAACAATTATCCATTGTGATGTCAAGCCCAGTAACATACCCCTAGATGATGACATGAATGCTTGTTGGGAGACTTTGGCATTGCAAAATTCTATCTTGATTCTAGGACGACATCACCTGGAGATTCAAAAACTATAAGCTCAACCGGTGTGAAGGGTACTATCGGCTACATACCTCCAGGTACTATCGGCATTGGAAAATTCTATCTTAATTCTAGGCAGTATACTTCGAGTGTGCACTAATTCAATGTATCTTCAGAATATGCTCGAGGTGGTCACGCATCAACATATGGGGATGTTTACAGTTTTGGAATAGTACTTCTAGAGATGCTGACAGGGAAAAGGCCAACACATCATTTGTTTGTGGATGAACTAAACATTGTTAACTTCGTGGAGAGGTGCTTCCCTGATAAAATATTGGATGTGACTGATGGTTCCTTACAAGATGGCGTCAAGAGTGCCCAGATAAATATGGTAACAGCAAATGAGGACTACCAATGCTTGTTTTCTCTACTGCAAGTAGCACTTTCTTGCACACGAGAAATTCCTGCTGAACGAACGACCATGAAAGATGCAGCTAGCAGAATTCGTTCAATCAAGACCACGTATGCCGGAGGAGAACGCAAACATACATTGAACTCAAACCATCAGTATACCGTGCCCATGCTAGCTACACAACACAGATCTTGATATTGTACTGGTATATGCACTTAAAAAGAAACAAGAATATTTAGATTATCATTCATCGCATTGCACCAAATTGTTATGGAATTTCCATTTATATTACTAGTCCATCAACTCATGCTCTTGCATGGGCTAGAGTTTTAGGAGATATAAGTATTACTTATTGTTTTATGCAACAAACTAATAAAGAATTACTTACATTAAATTGTAGGTTTTTTGTTTTTGTTTATTTTCGAACACAATAGACATAATAGATCCTTTGTAGTCTGTATCATAAATTTATTAATTACTATTATTAGTTCAAGGGACTAATCTTTATATTTTTTCGATCCATATTCATATTTTACTTCTGCATGGCACCTATATATATTTTAAATATGCAATTAGTTTGAAAACTTACCATTAAGTATGGTGGATCTTGTTGCATCACATATCTTATGAAGTCATGAATCTAAATTTAGTTTTTTCAAATTTTATTCTTATTGACTGCTCCAGATTAAGTTAAATTGAAACTCTTGTGCTTATTATATCTTTCATTAACTCTCCTTTTTGCACTTTTGTGAAATAAGGAAAAGCATAAGCCATCATTTAAAACATACACCATGTCGCTTAAGATAACTCACAGAGCTTCAACTGAGATCTGGATAGGGATAGTTACTAATAAAGTTTTAAACAATTTTGTGTCATTAGTAGGAGTTGTCAAGGTAATATTTTTTATGTGACGAAACATAACATAGATATTTGTTGGTCATGCATGTTGGCATGACCCATATTTTACTATATTAATATTGATTGAGGTGGATAATGTAGAAACATATATATGCTCTATGGTTATTTGAACAATTTTCTTCTAATAGAAGATGTCGATAATTAAGATGTGGGTTAAGGGGTACTTCATTTTGCTAATAATGAGATTAAAATTTAGCTGTGTAAATTATTGATCATAACATAACATCAGAGAACACGGAAGCATCAACAATGACAAAATTAAGCCGTTAACCATAAGCTCCATGACAAAAGGATAAAAAGAAATATCCAACTAAGACCATCATAACTATTAAAACACATGGGTTTATTTTTAGTGTATATCAACAAGTGTGTACTCATGCTGCTACTTTCATCGTGCCAAGCAACCTCGAAGCTATGCACCTGAGATAAGGGACACAAGCATGAGAGGTTTATGGAAAACCTAAGCAAGCAAACTGCTTTAACAAAGCCATTCAAACCACATCTTGATTAAACATCAAATTTAAGTAGATGATAACAAAACAACAAATACTTCACAAGTTGTACTAAGTTGTGCAAAATGCAATTGTCTAATGCAATGTATGACTTCACTTCTACCCACGCATCCCAAAGAGAGGGAGTGAAGACTGCAACAACATTGCTCATTTCATCATGCGTTGTTGTATCGATGCTTACCGCACCAATCCGGCTACGGTTTGTTCAAATTCATCTCTAAGGGAAAAGTGCAAATGCAATGCTGCAATATGTGCACTTCACATACTTCATACTTCATAATTAATAATTTATAGAGTAAAATACCACAAGCTATGGAAAAAATACTTCAAAGTAAGTAATAACTTCATATTTAGATTATCTGGCTAGTATGAGTAATTGAAATTTGGTGGAGGTCATTCAAACAACGAGGTCAAAGCATGTGGATCATAGCGCCACATTTACTTGCCTTAACCGAAGATCAGGATTGTGAGCTAAGAACGATCCGAAGGTAAGCGAACCTCAATACCAATACCATCATATATTGAATTCAAGCATCTACCATTCCACTACAGTGCGAGATAGTAGCACTGTTCCTTCTCTTTTTAATACACTTTTAACCACACATCCGAAAATTCTCAAAATTTACCAGATGATAGAAAACTCCATTTTCTACAACTTTGGTCTAACTGTAGTGGTCCCTGCTTAGGGGTGGGTTGGGGCGGCTGGGGATGAGGAAAGTGTCGATTTGGAACGTCTCACCATCGATGCGAAGTGGAACAGTGAAGTAGGCTCCTCGGCAGGATAGCTCCGTGCCACTACCAATGAGCACGGTAGTGGTGATGCGGCACTCGGCGAGGCCGATGGTACGGGCAGGGCTGTAGTCGATGACATTGTGCGTGGTGCTGGTGTCGTCGAGGATGCAGACGCCCTAGCCAAGGATGGCTCCCGCCAAGAGCATGGTGCGTCCTCCGCGCACCCCTGAGCTGGGGGCGCCTGTGAGCATCAACAAGCGAGGCTCGATGTCAGTACCGTTGTCATCGTCGTCGCTGTCGATGATGATCCACGATGCAAACCAAGGCTCTGTAGCAGAGTTCTCGGTTTCGCTCCTCATTGGTTCCGCTGTTGGGGGAATCATGGTGAACAACTTGCTTGCCACGGTATCCACGATATCGAGAGGCGTGATGGTGATGGGCGCCTCCTACATCCACTTGAGGAAGGCATGACCAGCGTCCTCCATGACGCTCATGGTCACCTTCTCGAGCTCCGCTGTTGTGTTCTCCTGAAGCTCGGGGCAGCGTTGGCGTTCGATGTCGGTGAGGTGGAGGTCAAGCTTGATGGGCTTCATGCTGAGCTCATCGAAGCGGTTGCCCATATTGACGGAGAAGATGCTTAGCATCCTCTTCATCTCAGCGGTCACGGTGGTGGTGGTGGAGGCCATAGGATCGATCTGGTCTCCTGATACTAGGTGTTGTGGTCCCTGCTCGGGGTGGGTTGGGGTGGCTGGCTAGGGTTGGGCACGCAGGGGCGCCCTCGGCCGGCACCATTGCCCCGCTTTGGGTCTTGGCTGTCCCATTTGGTCCGCTGGGGAGGGCCCTTCTTAGGACCATGACAATAACACAATTTGGCATATAAGATCTCCAAGATGGCATAAACAACCTTCGAACTTAGCTGGACTTTTCTGATGATCAGAACCGAATAACAAACTCATAAAATTCATAACTAGATATATACGCATCCAAAAAGTGTGTTCTTTACCAACCTGTGTTTATATTTAGATCAAAAGTTTAAATTCTTTCGTTACTAACGCCAAAAACTGATTGGATCTAACACTGTCCAAAATCTCATCACCGAAAAACAATCTTCCTAAAATGAGAATGAACAGGAATTGCACAGTCTAACAGGATTTCACAACGTGGACGCGATTAATTTTGTGAATTACTCCAACTAAACCTCTTCTAATTAGATGATTGGACCAACAAAACTTGACCGAAAAAATTGGATTAGGATTTGGCATCTAACACAGGGCGGCCACAGCAAGCACGGCGACAAGCCTCAACGATCCTCTCCTTCCTTACTTTTCTCCACTTCACGACGATCCTCGCCACTACGATCGTCCTGCCGTTTTGATCAACGCATGAACATGTTGTGGCCAACATGAACAGGGAGGGAGAGAAAATAAATTAAGGGCAAAAATAGAGAGAAGATAATGCCTAATCAGTTATTACAGAGGAAGAACGAACACTATATATAGACAAGGGCAGAAAACCTTAACCCCTGTCTTCCTGTATCTCCCTTCCCTTCTTTCTCTCTGTCTCATGTACGTGAAAGAGATGGGCGGTGGCATAGGAGACCGGCCTCACGAGAAAACCTCACGCCACCATCCAGGAGATGGACTCGATCACGATCAAAGGAGGCCCACTTGCATACTGTAGCATGCTGCATTCGCTTTTTTGGTTTGAAAATAGAGAAGAACATATATAGCTCTGTCATCTGAAGTCTGATTGATGCGAATAAGTAGTCAAACAAAAAGCATTCAACGAGCTCTACGCATCGGTGGTCTCCGTTTGTATATCCAATAAGCAACGGATCAAAAAGTTAATTATTGATCTATGTTTACAGTATCTAGTCAACCTTCAAAAAAAATTTATTCCATCTGAAAGTCCATATTTGTGCCTTATGTAATCCTGGATGTTACAATACTGGTACGATTAAGTTTCAGCATCATTTTGAGTAATAGCACATTAGTTAGTGATGCCAAGCACATTGATTAAATATTGTGTTGTGAAGAAAGAACCCAGGATCAATTTATTAAGCTTGAGAAACTAAATACTAAACTAATGCTAGTGACAGTGAAAATGGTATCAGACCTGGCGGTGATGAATTCTATGTGGTAGTGTTGATCAGGTATCTACATAGGCGCCAACTAATTTTAGCCGACTAACAATTAACCCTAGCCATTAACCAGCTAATAAATAGTTATAGCTCATGCAAACAGATACTGACAAATGGTGTGATATATATAAGATATGACAGTAGCACGTGATACAAACGAACAAACAACAATCACAAGCACACCATCATACGGTACACAAGAATGATACAAGAACAAATAGCCAAATTCCAGCTAGGCACTCTCGCTTCCATTGCATGGCCGTGGTGCCTCACTCATGCAGACTAGCGTACGTCAGGAAGCTGTAGTAGTCTCTGGCCTTCCTCTCCACCGGCGCCGCTGCATTCGTGGAAGCTGCGGCAGGGCACGACACCTGAGTGCTCACCTCCGGGCACTTCTTTGGCTGGCTCTGGAACGCCACGCACTCCGCCGGTCGCCTCTGGTTTGCAAAGCCCGGAATGCAGTTGTTGTTCACGTCCAGTACGCGGTCTTTGATTAGCGCTGTGCACGCCGGCCCGACTGAGGTGAAGTAGTTGCCACGCAGCGTGAGGTTGCCCAGGCGGCCAGCCTGCCCAGCAAGCCAGCAGAGAGTGTCAGGAACACGTCCGTAGAGGCGGTTCCCGGCGAGGTTGAGCTGCTCGACTCTGCTAAGGCAGGAAAATGATGAAGGGATTGGGCCCCTGAGCTTGTTCTAGCCGGCGTCGATCACGGCTGCCTTGTTCAGCATGCCGAGCTCGCGAGGGAGGCAGCCGGAGAGCTGGTTGTTCAGGAGTACAATCTCGAGGAGGGTGTCGTGCAGGTGCCCGACTGATGTTGGAATTGGCCCGGTGAGTTTGTTGTTGGCGAGGGCGAGGTAACTCAACTTGGAGAAGCCGAAGTCCGTGGGAAGGGGCCC